CTGTAAAAAAGATTACTTGAGTTTGTGTCGCCCAAAAGCCTCATCTTATAAAAGGTCAGCAAAAAAGGCTAATATTTATATAGATATATAGGGTATTTGTATAGGTTATTTGGTCATATTGCACAAACCAGTTTTGGAACTTACCAGAAAAAGCGCTGTACGTTTCTGTGATTTGATTTTGGCTCTGTTTGGTCCAGGTAATGTCATCTCCAGCAGCGCCAGCCAGAGCAGCCTCCGGGGGGCCTTCCCGGAGTGCATCCTGGAGGACTCCGGGTTCGAGGAGCCGCAGGAGTTCCGCACGCGCTGCAGCAGCCTGGCAGGAAGCCTGCAAAGGAAACAAGGGGAAGTGGGCATCATGGGTCCCCCGCGCCGCAGACACTCCAGCGCACCAAACAATGTCCAGCCGTCCGACTCGGACAAGAACCGCACTATGCTCTTCCAGGTAGAGGAACAAGTTCTAATGTTTTTCCGGTCTCGGAGAGATTATTTTCCAGTCCACCAACTCCTCTGGGGGGGCTGCTGGATGTGGCCAGAGAGAGCAACAACAATATCATTATGTTATTCTAAGCATGATAGCATGCAGAATGCAGATGTGCTGAGCTGCTGAAATACATTTAGCACCTATTGGAACACATTATTCTAAATGTACCGTCCGGGCATTTGTAAGGAATGAGTGGGAATTTGTCTTTCACGCAAGAAAATCAAATTCTTGCTCATTTGGCTGCTGCTCGGCATCTCTGCTAACTGCAGTCAAGCTGCTTGGCTTCTCTTTTTGCCTCAAATCATTTTTATGGGCCTTGGACTGAGCGCGGCAGAAATGTAAGGCTATAACTCCTGAATTTCAGGCTGTATTTCAGCGCTGCTTCTGTAAAAATAAAAAAAATCTGACGCTTCGTTAAAAACGTTAGGGTAGCGGCGCGAGCCAGCTGCCATTCCCATCACACCGTGCCCATTGCCTCATGTGGCTAATTTTGAAAAGTGGAGCGCAGCGCTCAATATGATACTCGGCGCTGCAGTCAATTATGGGAAAAATCATTGGCGTGGACGGGCTGGCCTTGTTTTGGAGCGCTCGTGGACGTATACATATATGCCCGTCAATGAAAAGCCCCTTGTTATGAGATATTTCCTAAAAGAATCTTGGAACCAGTAGAAAATAAATGTTTTTTTTTTCTGTGAGTGTGTTTTGAATCTGAGTGAGCGTATACTCTGTGTGTGTCACAGGTCGGGCGTTTCGAGGTAAACCTCATAAGTCCTGACAGTAAAACAGTGGTGCTGGAGAAAAACTTCAAAGATATCTCCTCATGCTGTCAGGTGAGTTTATTTTTGCTTGCTGTATTCACACCAAAAGCCTTCTGTCTCTGCTGTAGGCCTGGCCAGAGGATAAAGGCAAAATAAGCTAATACAATCACATAATTAGACATCTAACACATACATTAAAAAAATCTTTTTACAGCCCAGAAGGATTTTTCTGTTTATTCATGAAAGCAATAGCACATGACACCTTTTATTAGCAAGGATATTCCAACCTACTTTGCATACAGATAATGCGCTATTTGTCTAGTGCTGTTTTTTTTCTTTTTGCTGATGAGATGGAAATAGGGAATGCAACAAGCTATTGTGGAGTCACGTGCTGCACTCAGCCAGACTTGTGTTATTATTGATTTGTAATTCTAAACTGAGCGCAAAGATCCAGAGGTATTCTCTGTCTCCTTTAATGCTCGTCTCGCGTTTGAATCCACAGGGCACGAAGCAAACCGACCATTTTGGATTCATCTGTCGGGACCAATCGGATCCCGGTCCCAGTCAGTATGTGTGCTATGTTTTTCAGTGCGCCAGCGAGTCCTTGGTGAGTTTTTAGGAAGGAAGCGTAAGTGAAAAGTGACTTGAGTCGGGCACAAAGGATACGGAGCTTCTCTCTGTGTATGCGCCCGCCCTGTTAGGTGGACGAGGTGATGCTCACCCTGAAGCAGGCCTTCTCCACGGCTGCAGCCTTGCAGAGCAACAAGACCCCCATCCAGCTCTGTGAAGCCTGCCCCATGCATGACCTGCACAAGCTCTGCGAGAGGATTGAGGGTAGGCCATGGGAACGGAGCCGGTCACACCCCCGGCTCTTCCCTTTGACTTCACTCATGAATATTCCAACGCACGCTCTGTTTCTTAAGAGTTCATTTTCCGTTTCCCAGGTCTTTACCCACCGAGAGCAAAGCTAACCATCCAAAAGTATCTCTCCCAGCTGACTGACAATGAGCAGGCGGACATTTTTGAACGAGTTCAAGTAAGGTTCTGTATTGTTACATTCTTGAACAAGGCACACACATTCTGCTGGCAACATAAGTAACTCATTAACCGTCTTTTGGTCATTGATTGGTGCGAGCCGTTTGTTTATATTTATTTTGGCACAGCTATTCCCGTATTGATTTTACGGAGTGTTTACTTCTGCAGAAGCTAAAGCCAGGATCAGACCAAGAAGAGAACGAACTGGTGATTTTCCACCTGAGACATCTGTGTGAAACCAAACAAAAATCCCACCTCCACATGGGAGAGGGTCCTCAGGTAACTGCTTTGTCCTCCTAAGATACCAAAAAGAAATCACATTCTAAAGAGGTTTTTAGGGGAAAAAAAATAAGATTTTACACAAGAACGTGCTTGAACTTCTTATACTGTTACAATATTACACAGATTTCTGAGATCTTACTTCAGCACAGCTTTAAAAGAAAAAAAAGTGCTCACCTCCAAGAGTGCAAAAACTGTGTAAAAAATAGCAGAGCATATCCTTCTCTCCAAAGGGTTTGCAATTCTAAAGAAAGCTATTCTAAGGTAACCTTTATTTTGTGTTGAAAAAGCAACATTGACAAGTGCACTAAGAAAAAGAAATCTTGATTCCATTTAAAAAACAGTTTTATTTATTTATTTGCAAAGAAGCAAGGCAGGTGGAGTACTCATGCTCCAAACAACAAGCCAGTTAGTTTATTACATTTATGAAGCACTTCCGGTAATGAATTGATGGAATTATTGTAGGAAATTGACCTTTATCATGGCGGCCATTGGCACATATAAACTAAAGATTTGTTCAGATTGTGGCCATATGTCATGTTTTACTGAAGTCCTAATCCGCTGGCTTTGTTATTGTTGGGGCCAGTCGGGGGGGGAAGGGGGGTTGTTTTGTGAATATTTTGGTCCCAGCAATGAAATTGAGAGAATCTGGGAATGGATCCTCCTAAATGTATTTCTCCCTTTGGAAAATCCAAACAAACAAAGCTTGAAAAATCTGTTTTTAACCGCTAAGGTAAATGTAAGTATTTGACTTATGATCTGAATGTGCAGTAGCCTTAGATGAACCTTTGCTACATTTCATAAGCTGCTGAAGGGAAATATGACATTTTAGGTTCGGGAGGTTTGTGGATTACTACTTTAGACTGATCCAGCCTGAGGGCTTGTTAGTTGAATATTTTCATCCAGATGGCAGAACTCCAGGAACAGTTCAGTTTAAGTTAAAAAGCTACCTACCTACCTAATGGCTTTCTTTTATTGTTACACATTTGAACTAATAGTTTTTCCTATTTTCATAGGGATAGTCATTGCAGTCTCATGTATTAAATGTTTAATTGTTTTTCCTCTTATGTCCGCTGTTGTTTTGTATTAGAATGCATCAAATAGCTCGTCGACAGGGGATGCAGCGGCCACCGGCAGTCGCTTTAAACTCGATGTTCTTAAGAATAAGGCTCGCACATCCCTTACCAGCTCCCTGGAGAACATCCTTTCAAGGGTGAGTCTGAGCAGACAGCCGCTTTTGCTTCGTTCGTGCTCTAGTCTTTGTCTTGGTTTCACCTTTGTTGACTTCCCTGCCCATTTCCCGTCAAATGATTGTGTCCCTGTCTCTTATTTTCCCGCCCGTGACTGAGAATAGCCACAGTGCTCTGCACCTATTCGTCTCCCCATTCTGTCTTATTATCAGTTGCTGTATCTGCGTCATTATCATCCTGGGGATTTGGATTGACCCATATCTGCCGGGGAGGCAGCACAATAACTCCTTAGCGGAAAGGATCCAGGCAATCCTAGATCTTTTCAGTCTGTTATTGTCTCACACTTGTCTAAATAATGATTCGGTAAATTTGACCAAATCTGAAAGCGTGTCACCCTGGTGTCTTGCCATTTAGGAATTTCTTATTTGCTTTCAATCTCTCATATGCACACTCCATACTTGCAAAGCAAACTGTTCTGTTCTTTCCGAGAAAAGAAACGCAGGCATTTAAAACGGCTTTTCCCATCTTGTTATTCATGCGTTTGGTTTTGTTTTGTGCAAAATGTTTCACACTGTATCATCATCTCTCTCACCAGGGGGCCAGCCGAATGCGAGGCCGCTTGGGTAGCATGGGAAGCATGAGCAGTTTTGAAAGAGTAAGTATTCCTGGGAAACGGCATGAGAATTCCCAGAGCCGTGGTCAGGGGATTATGTTGCAGCTCTTCTCTCGGCAAATGAAGAAGATGATGGATACTTTTTCACTTTGATCAGCGGTGATGTTTGCGCAGTGCCAACAGGGTTCCTCTCACATGGAGACATAACTCTGCCCTGTGTTGCTCCCACAGGCTTTTATGATGAAACTGCTTTGGTCAGAAGGGCCAAATTGTACAGCAGGAGATGTTTTTCTGAAGGTGTTTTGGAGCCATTTGTGGCTATAGGTTTCGTTTTCTTACTGCTGTGCAGAATGTGGTGCGAGTATGCGATGCAGTCTTTCTGACTCCCCATCAATTATGAGGATGTTGAGCACACAATTTAGCATTTTGTGACTCACTAAAAGAAGTGAAACTGAAAAAAGATCAAAGCAGTTACGATACCCATATAATCATTTTTGCATTGAGATAAAAGTATTTGGAATTTTTGTCTATTTTCTTATTTTTTCCTGCAAGTGCAGAGTTACTGATGTAGATTTTCTTAGATTTAAAAAGAAATTGCATCCAAAGTTTGTTATCAATTTTGTTGAAAGGAACATCCGATGAAATAGTAATAATTTTGTTCTTGACCTGCACCAGTATGTCAATCTTTGTTATTCTATCACAGGAGAGCTAAAATACATACAAAATATATAATAAATTCCTCTTTACACATCAGACTATAGATCCTTAACATTTTCCCTTTTTAAAAAAAGATCATCTCTAATTAGAAGAGTACATGTAAAACAGTTAGAATATATTTCTAACAGCCTTTGAACATTAAACACTTTATTCATACTTTTGCAAATGAAAAACAATAAACCAGATAATAACCTGCTATTTGTTGGTTCAGCAGAATTGGTGCCAGGGAAAGTGGGAAAAAAACGAATAAAACTGAGAAAGGAATCTGTTTTTCAGCTGGGGACTACTCTAAAGCCCTGGAACTGATTATGTGAAAAGAAAAAGACTCAACTCAGTTCTGCTGAATTAATTAAAAACAGTATAATGGATCAGGTTGCCCCGAGGTTGTCGTTGACATATTTAGATAAATAGATGCACCGCTTAAGCATGAATTACTTACTGTGGCTGCATCTATTGAAATAATTCATTTACTAGTCAGAAAAAAACTAATTCTCTGTTCATCTGGTGTTTACTGTAAAAAATCCAATGAAAAGAAAAACTGTGATCAACCATTTCTCCGTAGTAATCTGTTTCTGGTCAGAGCTTGTCAAACTGACTGACAATAGATTCCCAGATTAGCTGATTCATTTGACCTCTGCTCCCTTGTCCAAACCCTCCACCTACATGTCCTATAATACAAATTATCCACTTGGAGACACATTAAGCTGAAACTTAATACGAGCCTGAGGCATTGACGTAAAACAGGGACTTAGGGGCTACACTGATTTCCAAATCCCCAATTTTTAAACACATCTCAACTCATTATTGTGAGCTTAGTCACCTTAGTACTTTAAAACAGCTGTAACAGACATTGTGATCTAAGGGTGGTGGAATTTTGTTCTTTGGATGTGTTGTGTATGTTGAACCCGGGTTTTCATTTTTACAGTCCGCTGCTCTGCCGTGAAACCTTAGATCAGGGCACCAAAACATTTTCTTTTCCAGTTTTTTGCTAATCCGCCGAACCAGAAATGACTCAGAAACACCTCAAAGAGCTTGAAAGACGCCGTCTTTGTAGGCTCCGCTTGAAACTGGAGTGTGACCTACTTTCCCAGTTTCATTTAACTTGTCATGTCAGGTTTACTGGATATATGAGCCATCGAGTGAGGAGAATCTTTCATGTCATCCTTCAATTGATGGAGGATTTGGCTAAGCTCCTGTATCTCCTTCTTTCTCCGAGTCAAGCAGCGCCGTGTTACGTTTTCACAGCTGAAATCGGTCAGCCGCAGCTCCACTCGAACAGACGATATCAGGGCATGAGAAGGAATTTACGGTCTTTTCAAAAGCGATATCTTACATAGAAGAAATGACACAGCAACCGGCCCCGGTCAGATTTCGAACGGTGCGAAAAAACAGGTTTGCTTTGTGAATAGCTGAATGAGCAGTCTGCTGGGGATTCCGTCAGGATGTGATGTCCCAGCAAGCAGGAAGCTCCTCTCAGGATGTCCAGCCGGCTGAGCCGCTGGGCTCCGGGTTTAAAACTCTCAGATATACCGGATCCGATGCGCTCTTTGTCTCTGCGTCGTTTCCCAAATTTAGCAGATTTTCCATTTGAAGGCACGACAAATGGGCCCGCTCAGGAAAACCACCCAGTTTTCACCTGCTTTAGGAGTGTGTGTGTGTGTCTTTCTGCGAGAAAGATGGAGAACACTGGGGAAAAACACACCGCTGCATGTACAGTGACATGTCAGAAGTTAAAGAGGGGGAGGTCCCACAGAAGCACAGTGGGAGGGGATTGGACGAGTCTCATGCAGATTAGTTCCAAAGAGGGCCTGCCTACCAATAGTTTGTGATCCTGTGAGTCACAGGACATCGTCTATTAGAATACAATAGATGTGGGAGTTGTACCACCAGGCATGAAGCAACATTGAGCACAAGTATGTTGAGTTGAGAGCTGAGGCTTGACTGAGCCAAGCCGTGGCACTTGATTGAATAGGTGAGTACCAATGAGTACGTTTAGCCATTTCATGTTTGTTTTTTGGGCTTTGGATCTGAAACAGACTTGCTAGATGTAGACTTCCTGACTTGTGATGTTGTGTAGCTTTGCAGACTATATTTCATGGATTTGTGTTTGGTTTGACATTTGACCTGTGACCCGAAATGCCCCCAAAAAATCGATATTGCTGCAAATGGTTTAATCGTGTTCCCTGTCGTGTTTCTCTGCTCCTCAGCAGGATGAGGAGTCTCCTGGTCACTCGCCCCCAGGATCCCCTCCTGGCTTCCCGGGGGAGGACCTGGAGTCTGGCATGCAGTTCCGTCGGCGCGCTCACACCTTCAGCCATCCACCTGTGAGGAAGCGCATCTCTTTCGAGAGCCAGCCGACCAGCCAAAGCAAGCACGCGCCCCTGCGCAGGCAGCAGTCCGTCAACCCGGAGCTGCTGCAGAACAGGTACCGTATCTTCCCAATGAACCAGTTAGTTACTATCTGCTTTTCTAAACGAAAACAGGAACAGACGTAAAAGGAATATTTGGTGCATTCTTTTAGATCGTTTTTGCAGGGGTTACAGGGTTTTTGCATTTAGCCACATTTAGAATGAGCTTTTGTGTTGTCTTTGAAGATACGGTAGTGCTAACTGTTGCTTTTCTCTGGATCCCCTTTAACACTAACCAAATATTTGGTTAACCTTTTGATGCATGAACAGACAATGTGATCTATTTGCAGTACTTTGATCAGTCCACATTCCCTCAAAGCCTTGTTCTACTGTCCATAAACACAAGCATATGTTTCCTGTCACTGTGTTGATCCCTCAAGAGTTCCGTTTTTTTTGTTGCAGAAGCTTTATCCTTTTTGTGTAATGTTTGTTTTTATTTGTGGGCATTACATGTTCGGCCCGCCCAGTCCCGTGGCCGTTTCGAGAACGCGCAGTGTTTCGGAGAGCGATTCCTCCTTCAGCCTCTCCTCCTCCTTCACTGCCCCCACTTTCCTGAAAAGCTTTTACCAGGGCTCCCTGGGCTCCCTGAGCTCCCTGGCAGACAGTGGGAGCTTCAAGAGGTGAGAGGGGGTGCTCAAACAGAGCCCCCCCTTCGCACAGACTTAAACACCAAAGACTTGACAAAAGAGGATAAGCTGGGTGGGAGGGACCCTGGGATGGCAGTATGTGTCCATGTTGGCTGTCAAAACCTTTTAACACGAGGCTTTCTTTATCTGTGTATTTCTATTTCCTTTCCTTTCTATCCACAGCAACCTTTATATGGTTAAAACATATTTTCCAGCTTATTACTCCTTAACTCAGCTCTGCAGCTGGACCTTCCCTCTTCCTGTTTCGCACAGAAGAAGAAGGGGATGCTGTCACACCCCCCTCTCTTCTTTTATTTGCATGTGCATTTGCAGATCTTTGCACAGCAAAAATTGCTGTGTATTTTACTCTGATGAAAAACCTTTATTTGATATATTTACATTCAATCTCTGTATAGCGATCTTTCCCACCTAAATCGAATTAGCTCTGTGACATATTAATATTAAGCCGCAACAGTCAGTTTGTTTGTGTGTTTAAACAAAGCAAGAAACAGTGTTGTGCTCTGTCGAGCTCTTCACAGGTGTCTGGGTAACAGAAAGTAAAGGTTAACATTTGAATTATAAATGAGAAACAGTGGGGCAGACAATTGGTGCGGTATCATTTCATTCCTGCCAGCCCTGACTGCACTAAGGGGAGCAGAACAGTTGTTATGTAGGCACCATTTTCCTAATTAGGACAGAGGAGTTTCAATACAGTCTTCTTGAAAATTAACAGGAAAATACAATGGAGAGTGTGATATGGAGATTATTATTATTACAAGTGAAGGTCAGTTGTGAGAGCAAATCTAGTCTCAGAGACATTTGTTGCAATCCAAGGTCACTTCCTGTTTTTCTGTGCCCACATGATCAGAAGGGCTCCTGTTTGCTGACCAAGCTTACTACAGTAACAATGAGCTGACCCCCAGTTGGACACAAACACTTGTTTCTTCAGGGAGGAGAATTCATTTGAATGAACATTTTAACATTTCATGAAACTTAGATGTTACTTCAAAACCTCATTTAAGGTTCAGTTTAAAATAGAGACATGGGAACTCTGAAAACTGAAAGGAAAATGGCTTAAAAAAACCCCCACAAGCAACAAACCAATGTCTTGCTTTAAGTAGCTCGTGCATTTGCATTTACACCCTCTGCGAGGAAGCCTATAATTATGATTTGATGTTGCCAATTATGTTCAGAAGTCACTTGATTACTTTAGCAAATTCAATTATTCCCAGCTGCGTGTGATCTGTCACATGATCTCAGCATATGTACATTTGCTTGGGAGCCCACACAGCCCTACACTTGCACTATAATGAAGACCAAGAAGATCTCTAAATGGGTGTGGGATCAATTTTTTAGTGTAAGAGATCAGAGTTTGGTTCTAAAAAAAAGTACAGATTCAGCTGCACAATTTAAAGCATTATTGCACAACTGCACGATGAGGATGATGATGCTAAATAAAGACAAGAAGGTCAGTGCGAGTTCGCTCTGATTTTTGTACAAAGTTAAAACAAATCTACATTAGGAGATGTGGCCATCTTCACCCACCTGTTTACTCTTCTACCTCCCTATAAAAGGGATCTCGATCTCGATCGAACCGCCAATTTTCCCCTCTCAGGATGTGGAATAACCTCCGCTGCGAAGATGAGCCTGCTTAATATGCCTAGGAGACTTCATACATAAATTATTGGAATGTCAGTGGCAATTCTGTTGGCCCCATACTGGTTTAACACATAGTTTCAGGGTATTTCCTCTCAACGCGTACATACCCCACAGAGATGGCCTTCAGCAATTTGTAAGAATAGAAACTAAAGCTGTTCAGGGCTCTTACATGAATTAGATTGGATATGACTCTTAAACAGTGCTTTGAAACGGGGAAACAAAAGCTTCAGAGACTCTTCTTCCTTTACTCACACACACACACGCACACACGTGTGTCTTCTCTGGGTTTAAGTCGAAGCAGTTTGGAGAGCCTCCAGGTTAAAATAAAAAGTTGGGAACAGGTGCACTGGAGAATAGAATTGGGATGAAGGAGAAGGCATTGCCATACTAAAATTAAAGCTACATACCAGAACATATTAGACATTTTTAGGCAAGGGTATTGTGTTGATCAAATTATACCGACTTACCAAAATTCAAACTCAATTTCAGATTTTAACTGACAGAAAAAAAAGCCTATATACATTATATTCCTGAAGGGAGGCGTTCTGACAGAAACAGATCAGACGGTAGTTGTGTAGCTGTGTAGTGTCAGTGTGTTGCTGGTGTCACATTATACAGAATAGATGGTTCCGGGCAGCTTGTTGTAAAATGACCCCCTGCTTTAAAGCATCTTTGTCTTTTCCCTGCATTGTAGGCTCATTATTGTGTAACTCTAAATGAACAATGAGCGTCTTTTGCAGGAAACACTACAATGAGAGATAGTCTTTTGAGTTTTTTGGATTGTTTTGACTAGATTTTCTTTCTGAAGGATTGTGTGTGTTTAAACATTTAAATTGTGACTTCATGCTTTTTCCACTAATAACCAATCTTTCTTCCTCACCAACAAGCAAACTTCTTTTTCAGAAACAACCGACATGCATGCGACGGCTGATGTTTTTTCTCTTTGTGTTATTCTGTGACCTGACTGAGCTGCTGCTTTATTAACATGGACAGTGGGAATCAGTGTATGGCAGATTCCTCCCCCCCCCCCCCCCCCCCCCCCCCCCATTTGTTTTCCTCCCGGGGGGGTTTTGCCGTGTGCGTGGTGCGAATGTGTGTGCAGGGAAGTGTCGGTGCTGGAATTGAAAAGAGAGCGTCTCGTGTCATTTGACAGCCGGCTCTTTTATCAGGTGTCATTGACGCGCTTGTCTTCTTTGGCAGCAATGGGGAAGGCAGGAAGAGGACCCTATCTGGTTGCAGCAGTGACTCGCTGAGTGGAGTTGTCCCTCAGACCCCACGCAGGGTCTCCTGGAGACAGAAGATCTTCCTGAGGGTGGCCTCACCCATGAACAAGGCCTCTGCGTCCATGCAGGAGACAGGTGCAGTAACACAATGCTTTTTATTTTTTTAAACCCGTGGAAGGGCGCTCCTTAAGACTCAATGAATAATCCACTAGGACACAGGAGTTCAAAGTAGAGACCTCTTTTTCTGGAAAACGGCGTCACTGGAATTAATTTTGCATGCATGTGAAGGTAAACAGAAACCTGAATGCGTCTCCATCTTAGATAAACATTCCGAAAGGTTCTCTTTCTACCTGTCCCAATTATTTCCCCCTTTTTTGTACCATCCACCCTGTAGTCGCTAGTAAAAATGAATGTCTGTCAGCACAGTAGTTTCAAGTAGTATCTTCTAAATACTGCAGATAGCGAGAAAATACTTTTTACATGCACATTTAAATCCACCACAGTATTAAGCTTGTGTCCGTAACATTGTGTAGCTCCTGCTTTTGATATGTGATCACCTTAAATGGTGGTGGGCGTGGGCTAATGAGCTCTTAAGGTGTCAGGTATTGTCTTATCCCTGGAGATTGGCAACAGATCCTTTGGGTCTTGTAGGTTGGGTGGCTCAGTCCTACAGTAAACTGAGGAGTTTGGAGGCCACGTCAACTCCCGGCCTCTTTTGTTATTTTAGTCAAGCTGGTCCAATGCTGTTTCTGTCAGCCCTGCTGGGGAGGTCAGTGCCGTTGGGGAATGCCCCTGAAGGGTGTGTGTCTGGTCTATAAAAAATGTTTTAGTGGGTTGTCGCTGTCAAAACAGCAGCTGCATGCCCGCGGAGACCCAAGGCGTCCCAGGAAAGAAAAAAAAACCCTGTACATTTCAATGATTTCATACATTAAACTCATCAGTGTTTTTAACTCTGTGGTCAACATGTGCAATTCTGACTCATAAGAACAACATTTACTCAAACATCCATGAAAAAAAAAACAAAAAAAACTAGAGATTATTTTTCTTTTTCTTTTTTTTTCCCCAGTGAGCTAAAGGGGTTATGTGCTGGATTTGGAAATGATTTATTGGAGGTGTTTTTATTATCACAGGTGTTCACTGCTGCTGGGAACTGGCTAACTACAGAGTAAATATGCCAGATAATCCAAACAAAAGAATAATTGATAGATTCTGTCTTGAGTGATGCAGAAAAGTTGGCTTCTTCAAAAAAAAGCAAACAGTTTGTTTTAAAAAGCACAACTTAAAAATCCATCATGCACTCACGCTTAGACATTTGTTCTCTGTCTCTCTTTTTTTAATTTATTTTTCAGATCATTCTGACGCCAGTGAGCTACTGCCTCTATCCCCTCATGCCATGGACCCGAACCTGGACCCTTTAAGGCGTCTTCTGCCTCTCGCACGTGACCAGCTGTCGGACCAGAGGCCTAAGAGGACGGGAGCTGACTACCGGGCCCTCTGGAAAACCGCCATACATCAGCAGATCCTGCTGCTGCGCATGGAGAAAGAAAACCAGAGACTGGAGGGTGAGTGGACGTCTGCTGACCTGCAGTTGGGTGCCGACTTTTTTTTTGGTGACATGAGTGGTACATAAAGAACACCATGCCCTCTCGTAGGCAGCGGGTTTGCCTTTATCGTCACCGCCAGCGCGTAGAAATCGTTACGAGGCCGTTTGCGAGGCTTGCTCACACTGGGTGTTATTGTTAAAACTTAACTGCCAGTAAAGATATTTATTAGAGCAATAAATAGCGCGCTCGCCTCTTTTTCCCCTACCTGCAGGTGAAGCTCAAGCTAAAGTTCTGTTATTTTTAACTGAAGCTTTATGAGTATGGACAGGGATGTAAGCCTTGGAAGCAGTAATTGTCAAATGGGTTGATTCTCAGCGATCAAGCGTTGCAATATTGGTTTGGGATTCTTGAGAGAAACAATGATAAGAACTCTGCCTTTTCACCACATGAAGTTTTAACAGAACATGGCTTAACATCGGCCTATGCTGAATGTGTCCTAAAGCATTTCTCTCTCTTCACACGATCAAACATATTTTCCTGGAAAGGTTTAGGCCATAACTGTTGTGAATATTGATAGTGTTTTTATGTATCCCAGCTTCCGAGTATCACATTGATATGGTGCTAGAGACTGAAAGAACATTGAGAAGCGCCTGTTTTCCCCCCCTCGCATCCTTTCTAAACACGAACACGTCTCTTTTTTTCTTTGTTCGCTGCAATGACATCAATGATGGTCTGAGGACCTGTCTGTGAATAACTGTTTTCAATAGAAGGTAAGCAATGAAATGAGGAGCCTGCTGGGATCGAGGCGGAGGTTTTGCATGATTCTGGTGGCTGGCGGTTTTAGTTATTCCATTCAGCTTCTTTTTTTATTTTGCACGTTAAGAGATGATCAGACCTCATTGTGTTTGTGTGTCTTTTATCCTTTTGTGCCTCTCACTGCTGGGTCCATGTAGTCTGTCTATTCCTTGAGCACAATATGGTTGGATTTTTGGGGTCATTGTGGGTGTTGTTTGCTATGTTTAAATGGCAGGCATTCCGTGACATCTAGTTCATTCAAATAAAAGTTCTCAAGGGTCTGCTTTCCCACTGGCTCTCAAACTGGTGTATTTTATTAGTTTACATTCTGCAACTCCCTGAGGTGATGTCCTCTCTTGTTCTTCGTGGTTTTTCTGCTCCAGCAAGAGAGTCTTACTGGAGAAAATGCGGTTTGACACCTTTCTCTTATCTGATTTTTAACTCGTGACTGTGTCTCAGCGAGTCGAGATCAGCTGCACATCCGCAAGATGAAGCTCAACTACCAGGAAGTGAGCCAGAGCTCCAAGGAAGCACAGGCGCTGTGGGAGAGAAAACTGACGGCCCCGGGCAGAACCACAAATCCACAAGACAGAGAGGCTATATACCGCGCGCTCTGCCAAGGTGAGAGATGTGTGAATGTGTGTGAAGGAAGCGAAGTGCACCAAAATAAGTTGAGATTTTTTTAAATGGCCTATACGCGTTGTAATTCTGGTGTGAACGGCTTGGTTTCTGTGTTCAGGTGTTCCAAAAAGCCGGCGTGGGGAGGTGTGGTTGTTCCTCTGCCATCAGCACAGACTGCAGCACAGACTGCCCCAGCGTCAGCACGCCCCAGACACCCCCTACCAAGACCTGCTCAAGCAGCTCACCGCTCAGCAGCACGCCATTCTGGTGGATTTAGGTGGGTAAACGGGAATTGATCTTTGCACAGTCAGACAGTCCCATTGAAAAGAGATGAGAACCAGAAATATTTTCAAGAAAACTCCCCATTGGCTTTGTATACTTAAAATTTTGGACTGGTTATTCAGTCCAGTTCTGATGAATTCTGCAAACACGTATCATGTGAGGCTTAAATATCTACTGGATTTGGTCCTGTTGCTGTTTGACATGAATGAAGGTAGAGATGTCTCTTTGTAGTTGTTACAGCCCAGCGATACGCCATTTTTTTACTTCCAGGGAGGTTGATCATGACTATACAGAATATCTCTTTTGTAGAGCTGTATTGTCCTCAGGTGATACGGTTGGAGAAGGATAGATGCTGCTCTATTCCATTTAATGAAGCCTATTTTGGTATTTGATTGTTAAAGCTGAAAGGAATGTGGCAGTTATTTTATTTGACTGAGGGCTCCAATTAGAGTTTTAATGGATTATATGTCTAGTTACAGGTGGAAAAAGCATTTATCTAGTTTTTTCTAAATGAAAAAGCACTCAGACTTTATGGAGTGTAACTGAGCACAGGCTGATGATTAGCCAGAGCCTATGTTGGGGTGGAGGCATGACATATAAGACTGTGCCATCAAAAGAAAAAAAGAAAATTAAAATGATTTAGCAGACTCATTTTGATGTGTAGTGCGAACAACAGTGGACTAGACTAGACCGGCATTACTTATAAACTATAGTTTGTGGAGTATGCGGAGCATTACGCATTCAGAATTCTGCTTTCATGCTTTATCTTTGTACAGAGAAGAGCTGAAATGTGTGAAATTGTATCCTTCCCCAGGCCGGACCTTCCCCACCCACGAGTACTTCTCAGCCCAGCTTGGTGCTGGGCAGCTTTCCCTCTATAACCTCCTGAAGGCCTACTCTCTGCTGGATACAGAGGTACATACTGTAATCCTGTTTGCCTTATTTTACCACGCATCCCCGTAAAGCCGCTTGGTTCTGATCATTAGAAAAAATGTTTTGTACGGAGCATATGCTCTCTTTTGTGGCGCGCAGGTGGGCTACTGCCAGGGCATCAGCTTTGTGGCTGGAGTGCTGCTGCTCCACATGAGCGAAGACCAGGCTTTCGACATGTTGAAGTTCCTGATGTACGACCTCGGCATCAGGCGGCAGTACAAACCCGACATGGTCTCCCTGCAGGTCAGTGGGCAAATGGATCAGGCGCATGAATACATAGAATCTTATTTCCAAGAAGAAACACACAGCGTGGTAAAAACATTTTGGCCAGAAAATCCTGCTGCAAATGAAGGCTCAAAATCGAATGGGAAACATACAAAACACACACTTTATACTCGGTTGCTGTATTGCACTTGTGGTTTAAGAGAAGAAAAGGAACGGGATAGATTTTTATCTCTCTTTCCATTATAAAGTTGTGTCTAGGTAGACAGTCAGTAAAAGCATGAACATAAACTTAATGTGGGTTAAAAATGAATTAAAACCCCATTAGATATCTTCATGATAATGCATTGCTTAAGCAGCCTGAGCTGTTGCTTTATCTTTAAAAGCTTTTTATGATTATTGTGATTGATAGACTTAACATACTGCCTTTTTATTGGCTTCACCTTATTCTGCCCCATGTTTCGCTGTGGACATCTGGACATGAATTTAACACTTCTTAAAACCTTTTGTAGGGACTGCAATGTCATATTCATAAGCCCCAGTCGAGACTCTACCATACAAAGCGTAAGCTAGCTCAGGAATCACCACAGCCCTCTCAGTGTTGATTTAATAACTGCCTTGAGTTCAGAAGAATCGTGATTTGAATCTCTCTCTGAAAGAAGCGGAGGCTGTATCTCCTAAGAACAAGTCTTGGGACTTTGGGGCTCATTGTCAGCACGCATTCCAAAGCCAACGTCTGTGTCGGTATGGAAGTGATTTAACTGTGTGTTAAGTTTAACTTGCACATCTGTCAAAGCACAATTAAGGGGGAGCAAATAACTGACGCTGGAGTACAATGCCAAACCGCATTCTGTGTATATTACAGCAGCATAGTCAAAGAGTTCAGATCCTAAACTGCCACTCCCGCAGTCTAGAACTGTCAGCCAGAGAAAAAAAATGAGAGGCACTGAAGCGTTGGAAAGCGTTCGAACAGAGAATAACATTTTCCGCCTGTTCAAAGGACAGCACACCACTTTTACATTCACTTTTAAGATGTCATCTGCCTGCCGTGTGATGCCTGACGTGGGATTTACAAGCTCACTCCGGCAAACATTGTTAGTGCCTCCTCCTCCTGGTCAAACCACACCTGCCTCTGTTGGCTTTGGTTAAACATCAGCTGACCTCCGTGGAGTTAAAGCATCAGCAGGCGTGGTAATATTTAATCCACTTCAGGTAACCGTTCAGCCAAGCAGCAGCAGCCTTCTCGACTCTCTTCCTCTAAGACCAATCCAAAGTGTGGCCAAACGGGAGGTGTTCGTGCCATTTTGCGTTGCGGTTCGTGACGAGGTGAAACGCATTGCCCGTCTTCTTTGTAACAGTCAGGAAATTGTAGGAGCGATAACGCTCTAATTTTAGCCTGAGCTAACTTCTGCTTCTGTTTTTTTCTTTCTCGCGTCCGCTATGCTCTTCTCTGTAATGTAGGGTTGAAGAATTTGCTCAACCCAACAAAAGCATTGCCCTTTGCCTGCCCGGACAAGTTCCTAGAATATCACCGGTGATACATTAGGAGCGTTGTGTGAGGATAAAGCCTCATTCGTCAGCTTGTAGTTCTTAGATTGCTCTTAGATACCGAGTCAGCAACAGATCCAGATTTACCAGTTATTTTTCAGATAGCGTGTTTTGACCTGAGCGTGTATTATCCGTTTTTTTTTTTTCTTCCCCAGATTCAGATGTACCAGCTCTCCAGGCTGTTGCACGACTACCACCGTGACTTGTACAATCACTTTGAGGAGCACGAGATTTGCCCCAGCCTCTACGCGGCGCCGTGGTTCCTCACCCTCTTCGCCTCGCAGTTCCCCCTCGGCTTTGTGTCCCGCATCTTTGGTATATTGTTGAATAAAT